TAGGACAAAAGAGTTGTGTGGTCTCCTGTGTGCAGATGTGGGCCTATGAGCGCAAGGGCTAATCCCTAACAAACTTCTTCAAGACATGTACCTATAAAAGCCGCAATACAGGGAAGCAACCCTGAAAAACAGACATATGTACATGTCCATAAAGAGTCTCCCCCTTTGCTATGTGCTTAGCTTGCTCTTAAAAGGGGGGAACTGCAATCCACATTCCGAGACCGTAGTTCCACTGTTTATTGGCCAGATTTGACGAGCCAATCATGAACCCTGGCATGATACTATGGGCCATGGATCTCGTTAAGTCCGTTGAGAAGATTGTCATAGATCACGGCTATTGGGTCAGGTGGAGTGCCCTTACAATAACTTATTTTGGCACCGGTTCACTTCTAGATATTTTATTTTTCAGCGTTAGAAATGTTTTTTGTGAAGTTTAGAAAAAAATTTAGAATTTTTAAAATTAATTTCAGCAGTAAAATATTGAAAAATGTTGTTTCTTCTTTTTTGTTTAGTAAAGTTAACTTGAAAAAGGTTGTTTCTATAATTCCAATAGTGTGGAGAGGCACATGTGGGGCCCTTGGATTCAGCCCCATATGTTTGCCAAACCACATGGTGGGCCCAGACCTCCCACATGGGATACCACACCACCCTTCCCTCTTATTTTTAATTTATATTTTAATTAAAGGAGTTTTTTTAGTTGGTTAAGGTAATCCCTTAAAATAAAAGATTATGTCCTTATTCGTGGGAGTCAATTTATGAAAAGATCTAAACCAAAATATTTTATATTGACTTCCCACAAATTTAAAGAGATAAAAAAAATGAAATTCTAGAAGGTTTTTAGATGGGTCTTATCCTATGTAGACTAGAAGTGGATATGGATCAAAGAATAAGGGGAGAAGTTTCTAATATTCCTCCTTAAATCATGATAGCTAATTTATGGGATGGATGACTCGAATTAATCCTTTCTCACCCCACAGATTTCCTAAATTCCTAGTGGTTAAGGTGAGTGATAATTGTATAGACAGACCAAGAAGGGTTGAGGTCTATATAAAGAGGGGACCCCCTTCCATTCTTGCTCGACACAATTCCAAGACCCTCTCTCTCTCTCTTGATCGCTCTCTCCTCTACCCCACTCTCTTTCTCATCTCTCTAGCTCTCTCTCCTCTCTCTCTCTCTAGGTGGCACACCACCCATAAGAAAAAAGCAAGGTGGCACGCCTAACCCTAGTTAGGGTTTGAAGAGAAAGGGGCACGCCCAGCCCTAGAAAAGGCAGGAGCCTTTGTGGCAATCCCCTAATTGTTCTAAAAGGGTATCAATAGACTCTGATTGTTTCTCATGCTCTCTAAAACCCTAGTTTAAGAGGTATCACCAAAGGAAGCTTCCCGACTCCAAAAACTTAGCCAGACCAAAGGATCAAAGCCAGTCATCGGTCAAGAAATTGGGTGTGGAGTGTAACAAGTCCTATAGGGGTGACCCTAGGCATAATCCAATAAATCTTGCCGGCTATTAGCTTTATTTTTTAGTCACATTTGCATGTTTAACTTTATTCTATACTTCCAGGAACATTATTTTTGCTTAAGTTGTTAGTGCAAGCTTGGTTTTTATTCCTAGATTATGTTTATTGACTTTGGCGGTAAAAAGAAATATCCTAGGTTGTATTTAGGGTTTTAATTTTCATTTACAACTGTTCATTGTGGCACTTGTAAGTGGAATTCATATTCAATACTAAAGAAAAGAAGAAAATTTTTTATTTTATGAATTCCGCATAGCCACATCTTTCACAAAGAATGAGAAGCTTCGTGCGGAGGAAGAACTGCTTGACGCTTCCGACAGACCACTTTGCATCAACTCAAACAGGGGCTCAAAGAGGTGCTTTGGATCAGCCATCATAAAAAAGCACGGGATTTTGGGCAGTTTCGACCAAGATGGATTTAAAGAAAGGTGTCTTCGAAAAGGCCCAAAGAAAAGTTTCTCCAGAGGCAACGACGAATCTGAGGACCAAAGCTCCGTAGAGAACTAGAGCAACAATAAAATTAAGTTTAAAAAGCACTTACAAGACAGAACCAGAGCAATGATACCAAGGAGGATAAAACTTGCTTCTAGCATCAAAAAGGCACAAGTATGGTGCTGGAGTTGCAATTTCCATAACTCTTTGAAAAAGTGGCCTCCCGAATGCTACGATAATGAATTGGTTTCCAGATCAGGACATAATACCAAACCTACATATCCTGTTCAAACAAAATAGACTATGTAATGTGGTGTTTCTCAGTTTACGCATTTGTTGGAGATGTTGCAGCAGCACAGGAGTCATGAAGTCATCTGGGAACCCATGCCAGAAGGGGAGTTCTCCATGTGACCCTTATACATGCTTCTACTTAATGGCAGTTTAGGGTGGTTGATTCAAATGTAGCTAAAGTATGGAAATAGCCCATCCCCCATAAATTCAAGCTTTTATTTGGATTTTGTGTCTTTATATGGTGTGGAACACTGATTTGCTTGAGAAAAAGGTAAGATCGTCACCAATGTGTGTATATTGTGCAAAGAGGATGAGGAAACAAAAAATCATAAATTTCTAGATTGCCAATACACTATAAAAGTGAGGGATTGCTCTATGCAAGAGATTGATTTACAAATGCTAATACTGAGACAGGCTACACAAATTTTTACCCAAATGGATCTCTTCAGTTGATGCCAAAATCTGGCAAAGTCCTAAGTTGTCACTGCTCTGGGACATTTGGAAGGAAATGAATCGAGGAGTCTTTGGAGTTGTGGTTTTAGATTGGGATAGAAGTGAGGAAGGATAAGCAAACAGTGGCTCCAACTAAAAGAAGATAAATGAACAGTAGTTAACGGGGCCTCGAGACAACCCAATTTACAAACTGAATTGAAGTGGCTAAAATTGAGTATTAGAAGAGCCAAAGCGGAGGAAATTGAAACCCCCCACCTGAAGGTATAACCAAATTTAATTTTTGATGGAAGCTCATTTGGTAACCATAGACAAGCTGTTATTGGGGGTTTCATATGTGATGATCAAGGCTTAATACTGCCCTCCTATTCAGGTCCTACGGATAATATCATGTCAAATGAAGCAAAAGTTAGGACCCTAGGAGGGCCCATGGGTGATATCACAGCAAATTAAGCAGAAGTTCGGCCGCTAGTTCAAGGACTGAGCAGTGTTTTAAAATGCGAGATGTGGTCCTGATGTGGGTGCACACCCCTATGAGATCAATAAATATAAAAAATTCTAAAAAATCTCAAAAAATAGGTTAATGCATAGAAAAAAAATAGGTTAATACCCCCCGTAGAAGTATTTCCACAAAGAGTATAAACAACACAATTTTGGTCTTTCGGATTTTTGAGTTTTGCATATTTCCTAGCTGGATCTGTGTTACTAGAAGATTGTGAAGAAGACATTGCCCCGAAAACAATTATTATTGTATTAGGAAATAAAAACTTATTGATTAATTGAAGAAAATATCGATATCTTCTCGGCCCTTGAAACACTCTTCAGGAAAATCTAGATCTCAGTGTAGATGTTGGCAGTGTAGATGTTGGCTTTGTGATGAACTAGGACATATACCCACAGACTGTCCAAAGAACGATAATAGAAAGGAAAAACCAAAAGTCATTAAGCTGAAGAAGAAAATCTAGAACCAGTTTTTGAGAAAGAAATATCAGATGATGAGAGTATATATTCTGAAATCTCAGAAGGAGAAGAATCTGAAGAAGAAGAAACGATGATGATGCTAGATGGGAAGACAAAGAAGAAACCTCAAATCAACACCGAAACTAATCCCTATCAACAAGCAAAAATCCACCAAGACCAAATCGAAATATTTTCTCAAAAAAAAAATTTCCACTACTTTTTTTCGTGATTGAATGGATGCAAAAAAGCCACTTTCGTGGCTGTTATTGATGTTTTCAGGGGGTTTAATACCCCTCCCCCCCTTTCCCCCCCCAAAAAAAAACAACACTTCCCGCTCTTTTTGGGTGAAAAATGACTTAAATACCCCTTTTCATGTGGTTTATTTTTCACCATCACCATACGCCGCATATGCGCTATGCGGCCGCATATGTGGTGGGATGCGCCGCATCCCACCAAAGCGCATATGCACTGTTTTGCGATGCGCCTCCTGGTGCATACCGCATGATACAACAGCATATGCGGCAATGAGGGCCACATTTTAAAACAATGGGACTGAGACTCATAGAACAAGGGCAGACGGACATCACTAGATGGGGATTCTATGAATGCCATAAAATGGGGTTGAGGTGAGCAAAATATTTTTCGGGTATCAACCCCATTGTGGAAATGAAATTCAAGAGCTAAACAAGGGAAAAGAATACTACCTCCATTCCTACCTATTAAAAGAAGAAAACAAGATGCATCTCGTCATGTTTTGAGTGTAGTAAATAGATTTTGAAGTTCAGTTCTGTTCTTGCTACTTTTGTTTAGTAGCCAAAGATAGTTGTAAGATAAAGATACTTGTAAAAATGATCACATAGTAATGAAATCATAACGCTTTAACATTCAATGTGTATCATACCGCATCGACATTCAATGTGTGTGTGTGTGTATTAATTATCCCTGATGAGGTAGAAGCATTTCTTTTATCCCCTGTCCAGCTTTTGCGTGATAGGGGATAAAATCATTGAGACTCCTAAATGATTTCTCAAGAAATTCCAAGAAAAATCTTTAGTGAAATATTTGTCAAATAAAATTCAGGAAATCCAGATGTCAAACACCTTTAACAAAGTTAAGTATGTGCAGTCTATATGAATGCTACATTAGTAGTGGCATTTCTTTATTTAAATTTCAAACTGGAGGCAGCATTATGGTTCCGCTTGAGTAATTATTACTCTAGGGACATAGTGAAAGTAGTTTCCTTCACTTATTGAGATGATCGAATTCCAATGGGAAACAAATTCAATTTAATATCATCAGCAAACTGTAAACAAAAAAAAGGGGAAAGAATCCGATATACAAGACAATACGCAAATTACTTCAGAAAGATAAATCTCATTTACTTCAGAATGATGGCACAAAAAGTTTTAAATACCATATGTAAAGACAACAAGATCCTCGTAGGCAATACCTAGTACATCACAACTAAAACATAACACAGCACAAGAAAGCAAAATTTAAAAGAAAAGTTGAGAAAAACCTGATAAAGAAGTTACACATACATGCAAGTTAGCAATCCCTATAAATGGTCTCGCTCCAACGAACCATCCTCTTCTGCAGCCCCATCCCCAGCATGCCTGAAGTAGATATGACCTCAAATGTGAGTTATAGAATCGACCAGATATTTCCCTTCATGTGTTAATTAATTCATGAAAATAAAGGAAACCAAAGAGGCTAGTTTATTTATTGGCCATACCTCCAAGATGTCGTCAGATTGCGTGCTTTCCTATCGAGCTGGATGTTCTCAAGCGCATTGGAAGCTCTAATCACATCCTCCGAGAGCTCATCACTGTCATATCTCCAGTTGTATTCATCCTTCCTAAAGCCCGACATGGATGATCCTGTCCTTCGATCTGAAAATGTTGAATTTATTCAATCAATAAAAGAAAACTATGCCAATTTCTGTTTAAGAAGTCTAACTCACAAGAACTGTAAACTTCATTTTAATGTACATGCAATCTTGCACGCACAAGCTTAGCAAAACAATTTGCAACAATGTATAACTCAGACAATGATTTCAAGAAATACAGTAGGGTACGATTTATTTCCCAATTTTGAAAGACTTTTTGTCACCATAGATAGCACAATTTTGTTTTCCCTATAATAAAATGTCCAATACGTATAAAAATATTCCTCATCTTTTTGTGTGGATATTTCAAGGAAACAAAAATAAACAAATAAAATGGTTAACAAAAATTTTATAATCTGCTTGTTTCGTTTGCAGAAAGAAATAGTATTCATATATCCAAGAATAGCGTAAGTGCGTAATTGATAGCACCATCACTTACCAGATGATTGTGAGACAGGATGATGCCTACAATAACCATAAGTAATTTCATGTTAAAATTTAAAAATTGGGAAACAAATCAACCAAAAGCGAGGAAAGACCATGAAATTGGTGATTGACAATTAACAATTCGCTGAGTGTTTCTCATTTACCTTCCTAGTGGAGGAAAACCACCAGCAATAGATGCTGATGAAGGCCTCCGCACATTCCTGTCAATATTTGGTAAAGACTCATTTTCGGCACCTGGTGTTCTCCTAGCATTTCCCCTTGTTTGAGATGCACTCTGCTACATGTTCAAAGATTAAGTTCCAACAACATGGATAGAGCCCAAAACAAACAAGAAACGTAATACCAAATACAGTAGTGTGGTTCAACTAAATCAAATTTGCCCTTCATATCTCTTGGATCAGGTCGATACCAAGGAAACCAGAAAACCAACACATTCTAGAAGGAAAGATTCACCATTGAGTCCATAGCAATTCAAATATTGATAAATGGAGAACAAAAAACCAAGGAGTGGAAGAGAGGAAAATCAGAAGAATTTATAATCAAGTCTTCATACCGATACTAAACAGTTAGGCAATCTTATCTCAAAAAACACCAAATTGATGTGCATAATTGAATTGTAAGCACCCACAGATTATAAAATGCCCTTCATCTGACCAAGATTCATGACCAAATCACCAATCCTCAAAAGTTCCTATGTAGTTAGCCAAAGCTCTCAGAGAAGTTCAGAACATAAAAATTCAAATATCAAGATCCCAGCGAAAGATAACGTAGGTGTCCTAGTTGTTTCCAAACCTCGATATTTGTTTATTTCATCAAACCTTAGCCAAGTCAGCCTCAGCCAATATCATTTTTGCTCTCTGAATAAGCTCTAGTCACCCTCTGAGCACCAGCTAGGATTTAAATCTTGGAAGCCGCCCAAGCATTTAGCATTGTCCGATGTTTGAATACACGGCTCAGGAGCAGAACTCGGACCCTGGTCAGTCCAAACTGCCTGGGCGAGCCCAAGTCAACTCACCTGAGTCGTCCTATGAGCCCAAAAAACCTAGGAAACTCGGGAAAAACCAGACAAATCATAAAGAAAAAATAAGAAGTATATCCAATATGGATTATATCAATCCATATTAACAAAAACATGAAATTTACCCAAAAATAAATAAATGAATTTAAATTGAAAAAATGAAATTTCCCCAAAATTTTGAGGCCGATCTCCCAATGTTCGCACTTGGTGCAAATCAATGCCTGGACAATCCTGGTCAAAGCCTCGTCAGACAACTCAAATCAAACTCCCCAAACTAGATTTGAATTTAAAGGCCAGATCTAGCCAGTCCAAGTTCTTAAAACTTTTGAATGAATAGTAAATCCGAAACTAAGTCTCACAAATCCGATTTTTTTTTTTTTTAAACTACCCTATGATCGGATGAATAACCCAAAACTTAGGGAACAAATTTCCTAGAAAATTGACCATTATCAGGTAAGATTTTTAGATATCTCAAATCTGTCAAATTTGATGATTTTTGCTCAAGTCCAATTCATCTAGTGGATCGATCATTCAAAAATAAGTATGTGGGAAAGATTTGGCATCATATGGGAGTTCTGTTAGTAGAAAAATGATGAAAAAAAGGAGACCATATTTCCACCTCCCTTTACATTTCAATACAGTGTCGAACTCAGGCAAGATTTGATGACTGGCAGAAATCAACTAAAACCCACTTGAGTTTTAGTTGCATTGTATTGAAATGAAATGAACATCTTGTACCTTCTTCTCCAACTAATATGGGATTTCCACTTACATGCCCCTAAAAAGGAGAAATGGATAAGGAAGAGGGATACATTCTCTATAGCATTCCAACACAAAAAACACTGCCGCCCGCGTAGTGGGTCTTATGCACACCAATCATGGAACCAAAACCACCTCCCCTATCCTACATAGCTACATCTAACTCCGCATATGTAAGAAGACACCATTGAGTAAATACCCCTGCAAATCATTGAGCCTAGATGGATTCCTAAATCCCCAACTCCACCCCTTCCCACCCCCATCTCATATTAGCCCTCCTCACATATCCTGCCCTCCTCTGCTGAAAAGTGATGGAGCCACTAACCAAGCCATGCCTGGTAACCATAAAAAGTCTCTGTATACCAAATCTATTGTGTTCCCCAAGCATAGTGAACCTACCTAATCTTACCACAGAAACTACTCTCTAGGCCACCCCAATAGGGTTTGAAACTGGGAAATGAAATAAACAAGAATGCCAATGAGAGGTCGCCTTTATAAGAGTAAAGTTGTGAGCAAATGAGAGGAGCCGACATTTCCATGATGCAACCCTCCTTTGAGACTTTTCAATGAAATCGAAGAGACACTAGGGTTGCAAATGCATAAAGTGGGACAAGATAAGTACAAGGAAGCAGCTCGACCTTACATCACAGCCAAGACTGGTAGTGCCAACATTTGAGCTGATACTCCCACTGTCATTACCAGGGCTCTTCCCCTGTTGACCTGTCCCAAAATAAACTCAAACCATATGATGACCATTCTGAAACACTTTGCTTGAATCAAGGCAGCCACAAAAGTGGATTGTGAGATTCACAAACTAAAGTGGGACACCATTATGTTAACAGAGAAGTTATGGAACCTTCAAAAAGGTGGGAAAAGAAAAAAGATTAAAAATTTATCCATGATCAAATTGATTCCCTTGGAAATGATAGCACAAGGACAGGGAAAACTGGGTGTCCTTGTCACAGGCCTTTGGGGATATGATGTAGGGAAATTTGAAAAACCGCAAAATTTTCCACCCAAACCCATGCAAAATTTGGAGCAATCCCAATGTTTCCTCCGCACCCAAGCTAGGGCCCAAACCATAATTTTTTCCTGCTCTTAATAGATTTCTAAACAAAAGAATCACCTGATGCCTCTAGCCTACTCATGCCCCCCTCTTATATTAAATGTCTAATGTTCTTCAAGGCAATATTTGTCCATCCAAATAAGTATTTGACCAAAGGTCTAACTTAAGCATAAAGTCTAAAATACCCTCGACCTAACAAGAAATGACTAAAATACTCCTAATTTAAACGTAGCTTTAAAAATAAACACCCTATCTTTAAATAGAATTCCTAGAAAGCCAATAACTAGTCCAGCAAATAAAATAATAAAAACAATCTAAAAACTCTAAAATGGCTAGAAAATTATTCCAGACAGTGCTTGCTCTTCTTATTCTTCTTGGTAGCCCTCCTAGTTACATCCTCCAAGTATGTGCGAGAATTAGAAGGAACCTGTTGTTCCCCAAGAAGATACTCGTCACTTTGTCCACTTGATGCACTATGCGCATCATCAGGATACTAGAAATTAAGGAAAAAGGTAAACCATTGAGGAGTAACACCTTCAATCCAACAATTTCATAGAATACCAATCTCCATGTAACACATGAAGTAATCAACGAAACCCTAGTTGGTATAATCATTGGCCCTCTTCAAATCTATCTCCACCAGAATGCCCAAGTACCCTTCCACATCTCTAGATTCTATGAAACTATGGCCAATCAAAGAATCTGTATTTATTGCATCAAGATGAAGAGTTAATGAAACAAAGAACCAATCACAAGCACGTCACTATTGCTTTTGCCAAGACTTAGGGATCATGTACCAGAAATTTGGGAAGTCATAGAGAAACCATCTATACCAGGGGACCCTCACTCCACAAGGCAAAGACTGCTCTTCTGTCTTCTTCGTCTGATAGGTTTGACGAGTTCAGTTGATGGGTATTCACTAATTAGAATGCATTAAAATCAAAATGAAACAGGAATATGAACATGAAATGTTATTGTCTGATAGGTTTGACGAGTTCAGTTAATGGGTATTCACTAATTAGAATGCATTAAAATCAAAATGAAACAGGAATATGAACATGAAATGTTATTATCATACGGTAGCAAACTGGGTGGTCTAGGAACCAACCTCTTCCAAACTGGGTGGTATTCACTAATTAGAATACATTAAAATCAAAATGAAACAGGAATATGAACGTGAAATGTTATTATCATACGGTAGCAAACTGGGTTGTCTAGGAACCAACCTCTTTTGAACCATATAGCATGACGACCCATAACAATTTATAAAGATGTTTTAGTAACTATAGTTGATGACCCAACCAGTTCACAAAGAGGAATTCGCTTGGGGATGGACATCAAACTTTGAGGCAACAATATCGCTATATATTTTTCAAATTTTTTTTTTTTTTGGGTTACCTGCATTGCTTCATGGCTACATAATGGGACATAGGCATCAGGAAGGGAGGAGAGAACCCATTATTTTCCATTTTACACTGTCTAAATGCACTTGCTTACATTAAAAATTATCATTTACAAGCACCAAAAAAAAAGGAGGCTTTTAGTGTTGAAAATTAAGATTGCTTCGCATCATTCATTTCTCAAAAATTGTAACGCTGCTCAGATTCAAACTATCAAATTTTCAAATTCAAAATAAAGAATCTAGTATGTAACTCCCAAAAATGAAACTAGGAGGAACAACGAATGAAAGAGCAATATACACATTACAAACTCATCCAAGCAAGTCCACCTTAGAATCACAAGAGAAATGAATATCTAACCTCACAAACAATAGGTCCCACTGCAAAATCTCACACAACTGCCAAAGTTACACCATGACTCCAACTGACATCTCAAATCTACGAGCATCCTACCTTGAACCCATGGCGATCTAACCATGAACCATCTTAATATTAGGAAAGGAGAAAAAAAAAATATAGTATTGGGAATTTAAATAACTGATAAACTATATGGTCACTAGGAGCCTAACACAAATGAACAACCATAAGAAATGTATTCATCACTTGGGAATTTAAATTTCAGATAGAACAACCATAAGAAATGTCCACACTTCACTAGAATTTCATGTTTGCAGGTTGCATGGAATTCATTGCATATCCCATGCTCATTCTGAAATAGTACGCCGTTGGGTAACTTGCAGTACGATGAAGTACAATCAGAAACTATGACTCCAAATTGTTATGCACCAATTTGAAAGGAATCCACTGACAGTAGAAAAACCACATATAATTGTATACAATTTGACAATAAAAATAAATGGGTTAACAATTTTACAAGAAATATGCTTATACATGACTAAAGAAGAACTCAGCAAAAATATTGGGCTCACCAATGGCTCTATATGCAAGATCCGAACCAAACCAACCATGCAAACGTAGATGAAAATGTGCATGCCTCAGCAAATACTATGTCATGCACATAACTACTTGCCCCAACAGCAGATCTAATACATACCAGCTACCAAACTTGGAAGCCTTCATATTACGAACTATCCCTACAGCCACAAGCAAGAGATATGAACCTAAACCCCTCAACTGGGCACCATATGTAAGTCGGAAAATTACTAAAATCATGCAAAAGGCGTAGAATCAAACCCAATGCAACATTGTATTCCGATGTCAAAGTCACACATGACGAGATACTTCAGATGTATTAAACCGACAACTTCAATATTAACAAAGAACACAATTACAACTATTTGTTTATGTAAGACTCTCATAGTTACAAACTATAAGGCCAGCAAACATGTCACTCAAATAGACAACCCAAAGCATAACTTGCTGGACTCCTATGGAAACAAAGGACATATAAAGCAAGGAAAGGGTGTCCAAAACTAAATAACCATAAACCTTAGCGCATGGTCATACAAAATGGAAGTTTGTTAGATCTAATAATGATCATGCAGGCAGAGTAGATGTAGCACCAGCTGATTGATTCATTATAAAAGAACAAGTCAGCTTTTTCCTTTAGCTCTAAGGGAAAGGCTCTAAAGGTAATCCATTGATTGAATGAGAAAATTTACAGTGTAAATTGGTTTCACTCAGTAGCAAAATGAGTCTACAAAAACCATATGAGGGACAATAGCTATATGGATGGGCACATAAAGGCATATCAATACAAGAATCCAGCTTGATAGTTCAAAATCAGGGTTGGCAAAGTTATGTGACATGGATGAAGTGCCCTTTGCCTAATGGTAATGGAGTTGGAAACCAGGTAAATTAGATATTAGTTTTGAAAGCAGCACTAGGCATTGAGCATCTAGCCAAATTGTCGTCCTCAAATAAAGTTATATATCATCAAAGAAAGTTGTGCCATAAACTCTTGTCTAACTGATCAATGCATCACTAATAATTATGGCAAATTTATGTATTATAAGAGGCTTGTAAAATAAATTGTACAACTAACCCAATTCCAACTATAACAAGCATCTAGCAGATTCTTGCTTAAATAGGTATTTTCCAACCCTTTCTTTATTTTATTGATGATGACAAATTTTGGAGCTAGGAGCATTCTCTAAGAAACATAAGTCATCCAGGCACGTCAAGGAAAAAGATATTTTATAAGTTCCCTCTATGGCTGCTTAGGCCATCCAAGTATCCAGGTTTGGGATAGGGTCACAGGATAAACAACCTGATGACATCAGTGTGGAGGTGTAGAATTGGATTTTGCATGAATCATGAGTGTATAACATTTTCAAACAATAACAATGCCGTTTTCATCAACCCCAAAGAAAATGACTAATATGTTTCTCAAACTGTTTCCTGGTTCTAAAATAAGTATCCCTGACAGATATTCTGCAATACAAGATTAGGAAAATAAAACAAAATCAATAATGTGAGAGGGATCAAATACAAATACACTCAAATTTAACCCAGGGGTTAATCCATGATAGTTTGTATACTTATTTGCTTGACCAGGAAAACCAAATTCCAAAACTAAAGATTGTATTCTTGTCTAGGAGAGGAAGTGAAAGAAAACCTCAAACTTCAGAAAGCCCTCAAGAACTTCCAGCAACAAAGGAGCACTTTCACCATTTCGGTTTGCATCGTGATCGATCCTACTGCCAAACTTCTCCCTCAATTCCACCTTCCAAAAGTCTTTTGGCTGCAAAGTCAAAAGTAGAAATAAAAATGATTTCCATTGGAAAAGATCTGTCATAAGTTAAACGAATCCAGATGATATACAAAGTCTTAGATTATGGAAATACCAAATTACATTCTGGCAAATAAACTTTCAGCGTGTGGCCCAACTGGGCCCAGTCCAAGTATTCACATATCAATGCTGTTAATAGCCCCCCTGAGCATAGTAAAAGAAATGGAAACAAATTATAATCCATAAAATAAAATTACTTTCAAATTGTTTGGAATAATGACTTGGTACAACCTGAAGGAGATGCATGAAGTTGCCTAGCCCTTTCATTACAACTACCAAGCAATGCAGAAGGTGCACCATCTTCATTTTCAATAGCATGATCCTCTTCTTCAATTGCCTCAAAAACACTAGCTCTAAGCTCAGCCTGACAACAAAATTTGGGACAATTAAGATTAAAAATATCAGGCCGTCTGGGTTATGAAACAAACAGCCTAATTCTACTGGTGGCAATGGAGGTGAAGAATAATCTTTTGAACAAAATGGAAAAACAATCTAGAAAGGATAATCGATGTCATAGAATACTCAAGGAAGAAAAAGACAATGCGAGGATATGAAGATAAGGGGAAAGAACCTCCTCTTCCAAAGCATTCCCATCACATTCAATAACTCTTTGAATACACTTACAAACCAATGCAATTACCCATAAAGAAGAAATAGTGCCTCCTCAGAGGAAGATGGGGAGCAAACAATCACCAAAATAACAAGCTCAAATAACACCACGAAACTAAGAATAGAATATATCAATAAATTATCCCACGCCCAAGAAGGAACATTTCCATTGAATTTCTGGTTTTCTCAAACAATTTGGACCGGCATTGCTACTAAATTAGAATTTAAAAAGAAAAAACAACTGAGTAAGAGAAGTGTCATTCCCCATAAAGAAAGACGAAGAAACCAAAGCCTCGGATGGGAAATTCTCTGTCAAACATAAACCCAAAAATTCCAAGGGCCTCATTACAAAGAATATATATATATATATATATCCATGACAGCTTAACCTAAATTTTTATTTTTTTTCTGAAAGTGTAAATGAGAATGGAGGGCTCAGGTGGTATTCCCACCACAATCCAATCCTCATTCTCAAATAAACAAAAGCGTAAAGAATAATTTACCCTTATAAATTGAACGAACAATAATTAAAGAAAAACACTTCCAAGAAGAATTCAGAGTAATCTGCCAGATTTAAAATGTTAAGCAAATTAAAAAACATCACATATTCATAAACCCCAAATCCCAATTTCCCACATTTGAAAACCCTCAACTTCCTAAATTTCTTAAGCAAAACGAAGTGTGCCGCTTCCGTCTGAGGACACCAAACCTGGAATAAAAATCACCATAAAAAAATGGAAAAAAAAAAAAAAAAATCAACCAAAAAAGGAAGACAAACAAACATTCAAATCACACAAAAAAATTAAATTTAACACAAAATTTTCATAAAATGGAAGAGGGGGGTAAATGAGTTAACCCTGATCTTGGCTAGCACGCCTTTCTTCTCGAGAGTGCGAGTGATTAAAGTCTTTAGATCCATCATCTCTCTTGCGTAGTCGTCCATTATCTTAACTTTCTCTCTCTAAAAACAACCCTCCTTTCTCTTTCTCTCTCTAACTTAGTAGGGAGAGGGCTTCTGCGATCGAACTGCCAGTCGCAACTAGGACTGCTTTCTTTCCGTTCGCCTCTTTCGTTCGCCATGTAACTCAGAAATGCGAAGAATTCCGAGAACATTTTTTAGCCAGAAGTTTTTATGCTCCCGCACGAGTAAAATGTATATCCACTCCCTCACATAAAAAACTGGAAGTACTTTTAGGAATCCAAATGTAGTAAAAGTTTATATAACCTCGTAACCTTACACTATAGAAGCAAGTTCCACCTAAAACTTAAAGTATAAAAGAATGCTCGGAAGTTGGAAAATTTTAAACTGATCATCTGAACATCGAGATGTTTTGATATAAGGAAAGAAAGAAACTCGAGTCCTAAAAATGACATATATTGTGATAAGTTATCTAGACGGTCTATTTTCAAAGTATTTCAAGTATTTGAAGTTCGGCTCGATTTACATAGTTTTTAAAATTTTAAATTTGATATTTAGAATTAAACGTGGATTTTCAAGCCATCATAAGGTTTCTAATACCGAAACTACATCTAAATTTATAAGGCGAGTGTTGTATATGATAAAAAGAACATCCAACTAGCACTCCGCATAGGGATGAAGAGATAATCTCCTGAATAAGAGTAAGATTTTAATTGTTGGAAAACTAAAATTTTAAATTTTTCTTTTAAAAATAATTTCCTGAGGCACCATTTGATTTCCTAACTAGATTGCAGTTTGGACCTATTTGATAATTTTTCATCAGCAATTTGTCCTCAATAGATATTGACTTGCAAATTGGAATTGATTCCCAACTGCAGTTGACCTCAGATTGAATGTTTTTCTCTCTCCAATACTACTTTTTTTTTTTTAATAATGAATCTCTCACCACTATTATTACTATTGCCACTGCCACTACTCCACCAACTCCACCAATATTCCACCGCCGCCTAGCCACCGGTAATGCACCACCCACTCCATCAACACCACTTTCGTTGCCTAGCTGCCATTGCCATCCTTGCACTCTCATGATGTTGCTACCATGGCCACCACTGCACTGCCACTACAACCACTACCGCCACCATCACCACTGCGATTACAATACCAACACCACCACCACTACCATCATTATTAGGAACCACTACCACGCCTTAGAGCCACCGCCGCCACCACTACTCTACCACTACCACCCCACCACCGCTTACCGGCCACCACCACTACACCTACTCCAAGACCACTATTATACCATTTCTACCTCCACCATCACACCATATAATAACAATTTATTGATCAAATTGTAACATTCAAACACCATGAGAGAGTACTACGCAGGTGTGAAGAAGCCCTGGAGATGGCTGCAATGAGCAAAAATGCCATTCACCTAAATGATAAGCAAATACTCGACATGAGAGCAAGGGATCACCCAACAAATAAACGAGCTCCAAGGATGGTGACAAGAACCATGCTTTGTAACACCACGCTTTACAGCAACTGCCTAAGGCAGATCAAACGTAAGAAAAAGAGAGGCCCTACTTCAATTTCCCCCTTCCCCCATTCAATAATCAAACGTAAGAAAAAGCGAGGCCCTACTTCAATTTCCCACTTCCCCCAATTCAATATAGACTTTGTTAGTGTACTTTCTTATTTCAATTGAAAAATTATGCAATGAAATTTTTTATATTTGGTACAAGGTGGTCACGATTAACTTTGACCATTGGATGTGAAATTAGATGGATGCATTCGTTCCATTGATCAAGCTCAAACTTCAAAATAAATTTTTTTGAACTTTTTGACACACCCAAGCTATTAGATTTTACACCATGCTTATAAATAATTACAATCTCCTTGTATCAAAACTTAATGGTATCGTAATATGCGATCCCTTTCCAATTTTCACGACAAGCTTAAGAGTAAACAATTAAACAAAATACACTCACCCTATTTCTTTAGTCCTAAAGAAAATACGAGGAAGACTTTTCCTTGTTTGGGCTGTGATTGGATTAACCTTCCTTCGAAATCTAAAAATTTGGAAGAAGATAATGAGAAAATGGAGGCAAGGGTGATAATTACTACTTAATGCCTTTATGGAACGATTTCCAGCAAGTTCGCACTATTTTTTATCCTTTTTAAACTCAAGGGAAAAGAACCCGAGCTTAATAGGTTAGGGCTTGACAATTTGTAACACCACATCCATAGCTCAATTCCTACCATGGGTAGGAGCCTCTCCCAACTGACTCACCCCTAAAAAGAAAAAAAGTTTTAAGTAAGGCCATGCCTAAAAGTGATAGCCTTCTTAAAATCCCTCATAGACAAAAGTGATAGCCTTCTTAAAATCCCTCATAGGCATGGATCTAAAATGGGAACTATGTTAAGTCACTCTACTTGTATATCTGCTTTAGATTTATGATTTTTAAGTCACTCTACTTGTATATCTGCTTTAGATTTATGATTTTGAAGATTAAAAAATGATGAAGATTTGATAACATATAAAGAAGTCAAATAAACAGGCTAAGAACAAAATTTGTAGGTTCTTTGTAGGGTTTAAAATTTATTTTTCCATATTCATATCGTGGTGATTAAAATTACGGCCCTATGAAATTTTCATTTCATCCCCCCCCCCCCCCCCCCCCCTCCCCCGCCCTCAAACAAGAAAAAAACCCAAACCCCAAAAAAAACGAAAAGGAAAAAAATTAAAGATAGATTTTGGATCCATAATAAATTTTAAAATTTTATGAATAGACATAAATAAAAAGATTATCTACGCCCATGGGCATACTGTAACAGTAAACGCCCACGGTTCAGATTGAATCTAGGCCGATCTGACGTTCACAGATGTCTGATAATATTTGAATTTTAATTTTTTTTACAAATCCAAATCACTCAAAATTTTAACGTATGTTCTTAAAAAATAGATGAACCTACGAAAAATATCAAAAAAATATTTTACATGAAATAAATTGACCAAAATACCCCCGAAAGATTTTAGGGGTATTTTGGTCAAATTTGTTTTCGTAAATTATTTTTTTATATTTTTATTAGGTGCACCTTGACGAGAAAAACATACACCTAAAATTTCAAGTGATTTGAATTTGTAAAAAAAAATTAAAATTCAAACACTACTAAACATCTGTGATCGTCAGATCGGCCCATATTCAATCTGAACTATTGATATTTACTGTAGCAGTAAGTGAGTGAACGTACAAATCCACTCCCATAAAAATAAATTATAAAATTAAAAATAATATTTTTTATCATCCTGCACTATGTTTTGAGCCACACAAAGATAGATCCATGACAAAACTGTAATAGTAATAAATAGTTTTCATTCTAAATCTATACAAAAGCTGAGTGCACTCCTGAGTCCGGATGCTAACTTGAGCCACCCCTATCCAAATTAGTTGCTGTTGTCTTTCAATCATCACTGAGTTGAACGGTGTGGACGGTGGGTAGCTAAAGTTTATAGGGTGCAGTTTGCACATAGCCGAGGTTCTAAACAAACAAAGTATAACGCCCCTTCAAATAGTATCGAGAAATGTAGCTTTAATGATGGAAATCTTTGTTATAGCCTTAAAATATTTTAATTATAAAATTTGAAGCTTTAAAAATAGTGGAGATCGAGCAAGCTATGAAAACTTGAAAATTTTGAAAATTGACAGTAAAAAAATACGTTACACGATACATTGTTTTCAAAACTTGAAATCCATTTATTTCTCATGTCCATGCATGTTAATGTCGAGATGATCAATTTTAGGATATTTGGGCATCAAAACAACCTCTTTTAGTAAAATTTTTGAGGTGGGCTCTAATTTGATTATTTAAAGCCTTGGATCTATGCAAACTTTTTCCAAGTTTATATATGGTTTTACTTAAATTAAAATAGCGGACCATTTCAAATTTTGATAGTAAAACCCACTAGTATAAAACTCGCCGAGTCGAGCTGGACTCACCCGGTTCAACTTGGGAATCGTTTGCTACCGAGCCGGTTCCACGAAAAAACCGAGAATCGCCTGTGTCCAGAGAGAAGCTCGTGTCTAGAGAGAAGCCCGTGTTCAGAGAGAACCGGATGATTCCGAATAGTGAATCGCGAGTCTCAACGAAAAAACCCGTATTTTTTGGATTTACATGTGGCAACCTCATGTGTTGTGACACGTGGCCACCTCACGAGAGTGAGGTGTGGCCACACATGGTAACTCACCTCACGCTTGCCTCCCTCGCGTTGCCACACACGCAAGTGAATGTTAATGACACGTGACTTTATAGAGAACCAAGCAACACTCATCCTTCGACGTGAGATAATTCCCACAAAAAATCATTAAAGCAAGATTATAGAATATATATTATTATAGACGCTATTAGAATCACATGTGGTGACGTGGCCGTGTTAGTTGATAACACGGATTTTGCGGTGTATATCTCGAGTTCGAACCCCATAGTGAACACCAAAAAATATTTTGAGTTTGAACCCCTTAGCGCACAACAATTTTTTTTTTTTTTTTGAGTTCGAACCTCTTAGAGCACAACAAAAAAATACAAAAAAAAATTTGTTGTAAAAAAAAATAAACAAAGGCAGAAAATACCGTTGTAAAAAAATAGAAAAAATATAAAATAAAAGTCTTTTCAAGATAAAGATAAAAAAAAAATACAATATTTTTTTTATTTTTCTTGTAAAAAAAATACAATTTGTTGTCAAAAAATAAACAAAGGCAAAAAATACTGTTGTAAAAAAATAGAAAAAATATAAAATAAAAGGCTTTTCAAGATAAAGATAAAAAAAGATAATACAACATTTTTTTATTTTTCTTGTAAAAAAAATACAAGGTAATATAACAAATATTTCTTGCAAAAAAAATAAAACAAAAGGCACAAAAAAGTAAAATGTACTTTGGCAGCATCATTTTCTTATTTTTCTTGTAAAAAAAATAAAAAGTAATAGAACAAGCATAAAAAAATGTAGTACAACATCTTTTTCTTTTGTAAAAAACAAAAACAAAGATAAGCAACAAGCATCATATTTTTCTTGTAAAAAAAAATATAAGATAACACAATAAGTATTTATTGTCAAAAAAATAAAAGGTATTTCTTCATACAACCTAGGAATAAATAGTCTAATTATATTTTTTATTTTTATAACATGATGGTCTTTAACATAAATTTAGTAATATTAATTTAAAGATAGGATTCATTCAATGAAGTCATTTGAAATCTCTCTCTTTCTACTAACAATCTCTTCCACTAATTTATTCTAGAAACCTAAAAAGTTAAAAAAAATTGGTACGTATTCTAATAATTTCTACATTGATAACCAAATCTTTTATTTTATTTATTAATTTTTGTATTATAAATAATGTAGTGTACTATTTTTCTTACAGTTGTCAATAATACATTTTAAATTAGATGATATTATAAAATATTTTGGATTTGTTATTATTTATATAATAAAATAATTATAAAATATTGTTGGTATATTATATTATAGTTAGTTAGGTTGTAATAATTTGGGTTTTTTTAGCGGATTAGGGTTTTCCGCCAATTCGAGATTTTAATAGCCAATTTTTCATCGATTTAGTCAACTCTTTATTGTAGTCCATATGTGATTATATACTTAATTTTGTGTGATGTAAATTTAATGGTCAACATAAGTTCATACAGAAAAAGAACATCTCAATATTTATAAATTGATGAAAACAATGAAAGTTAATAATGTAGTACTCTCATTTTTTATTGGATTCATAAAAAACAACATTTATAATGAATTTTAATAAATTTTTTGAATTTTTTTAAGGCTTAATCAGAACGATTCGGCCCGATTCCCGATCCGAATCGCCAATTCACCGATCTTGATCGGTTTTTGGGATGCTCTATCCGGATCACCGATCCGGTTTTTAAACCACCGGTAAAAACAAATGTGTGTAGTTTGCATAAAGTTGCAACATTAAATAATCAAAATAAGGGGCACTTCCAAACTCCATCATAAGATTCAATTTTGATGTTACTTGTTTTAAGATGACACGATGATCTATTTTCATCTCTAATTATAAAATTTAAACTAAATAAATGATTTAAATTATGCACATCTACAAACACATGGACACTTTTCTATGCAACCAACCCGCATATTGTAGAAATGTGGGCTTGACAATAAATATATTTTTTAAATATAATTTGATTCATATTTTTAAATAATGCATGATCTTTAACATGGAGATCATGAATATGAAAATAATAATAATTAAAAATTAAAAATTAAAAATAATAATTATATTAAAAAAACATTTAGACAGTAAGTTAGACTTGTTTTAGATGGACCGCCTATTTGCATCCATAGATGCTTTACACCTTTGAACCGCATGTGTAGAAATGTAGTCCACCCCACATGAAACAATTTTCCATTAAAAATAGACTGTCCAAATAATATACTACAACGTGTATTATTTTTGGGACTTCGAAATCTTTTGTTTCTCCCGCGAGATGATTAATTAGACATTTTTCTAACGACAAAACAACATTTTTCAAGAGATTTTTTAGAGGAACCTTGATTCTATTTCTAGTAACCTTTTATAAACAATTTCCAAACTGAATTTATTTCAAAAATTTCCGCAAAAAGGTTTACTTCGCGGTCCATTTAATAACAGTGTAGGAGATACAGGCGTGAATTACTACCTGCACTACACACAGGGAAGGAAAAGGAGGTAGGAGAAGGTCTGCATCTCTATCTCTTTCCATTTTTTTTGTTTTTTTGCCTAAGTAAAACTTGAAGATGCAATTTCTGATTGCCCTTTTGTGCCTTGTTTTGTTATAATTTGGGATGTCTTTCCATTTTCTTCGAAGACTGCAAAAGGGAAACGATGCCACTTCAGAGAGAGAGAATGTATGTGTTATTGAATATGCATCTGCTGTTGAATATGTATCTGCTGGTTAGGGTCAAAAGATTATGCATCTTTTGATCTCTTACCCACCCTAAAGAAACACATTTTAAAGGATCCTTTCTTGAAATTGCTGATCTGACATAAATTGGTGGCTAGAAGCATGTGGCTTTTGCGATAATAATGTGACTGTTACGCCGAGAATGCGGTAGATAAAAGTAGGGAAATTCACAATATTGAAGCATCATCAATTCACATTTGCATTGTTTAAAAACCATTCCATATGAGAATCCATGAGTGCTCTGTCTGTATTTGTGTTATGTTCGTATCATTCATCCGATCCCAGCTAACATATCTGAGGTTCTTCGATGATTTGTGTCTCTCTGTGTAGTATAATACTTATTTATTTATTTATTGTGAGTCTGGTTTTGAGAATTTGACACTGATTATTGTATGGCGAACAAGCAAACTACCTGCATAGAAAGATAACATCCATAGAGCTTATGCCTCTGCCTCGTACAGTTTTTTGGGTCAGATTAGACAGTGTTTGCTGTTTTTAACATGCAAACTCTCCTTGTGGTAATTCCCAAAATGTTTATTTGCTTTTAGATACATATGGTGCAGAGCTAATGCATGCGAGGAATAGGTGGCTTGCCATTTTGGATTATAGGGCCGAAATTTTGACTAGAGACTTTACCCTGTAAAGCCAATGAGAAATTGTGGCACATGACTGAGTGTGTAGAGCATCGATATGATTTAATTGTGTAGAGCATCTATAGGGTCAGGAGCCATTTTGGATTATAGGGCCGAAATTTTGACTAGAGACTTTACCCTGTAAAGCCAATGAGAAATTGTGGCACATGACTGAGTGTGTGGCGCATCAATATGATTTAATTGTGGCTCATGACTGGATTGTGTTATTTATATTTCATGCGACTCCCTTGATTTATCCAAACATAAGGTAGTAAGTATTTCTGACCAGTAACTGAACACAACTTTGCCTTTTATTTATATTATATTTTATTTTTATTGGGTGGTTGGCAACTCTAGACAAAGTGTTAACCATTGATCATCTTAGAAGTAAGGTCGTTCCTTGTACTGAGAGATGTGCTAGGTGCAAATATGAAGCTGAATCAGTGGATCATCATCTCTACACTGCAACACAGAGGTCAAGATATGGTCCGTTGTCTTGAATCTATGACTTTCCATGGCTTATGAATGGAACCACTGATGACTTACACTGCACCTTCCTACTGAGAAAACTGGTTATAGAAATATCTGATGTGAATGGTGGCATTGTTTTCAGAGACAATCTCATCCCGATAGACTTAGGTTGAGTTCGAAGTTAACTCTGTTTGGCAATTGTAAAAGTTGAATTATTTTCCCCTATCCTGTTTGTCCAGTCAAGGGAATGCACATCTAATCTTTAATATGTATTCACTTTGATGTGTTAGTGCTAGCTTCTATTTTGTCAAAAAATGGTCACTAAATTATCGAAGTATCTTTTGTACATATGGTTTTACTTTATTCAAATATGACATTCAAAATGTGTTTAATGCGATTTATTACCATGATTGGTACTTAGTTGTTAAATAACATTAGAATTTTTGTTCTGATTAAGGGAGATATATCTTTTGGCAATCCAAGGATTTATGGGCCAAAGAACTTGCACATGCAGGGTACAACTGAAACTTTAGCCTCCAACCCATTGATTTTATATTCCTTATGTGAAGCTATCCTGACTTCGATTACCTCTTCACTAGATTATACAGTAATAATCTATTAATCCTTGTCTTGTTTATGCGTTATGTTCTTGTGACCCATCCTGACCATTCTCATTTTGAACATTCTGCTCGGACAATGCCATACGACTTATTCCTGTCGCCCACCATGAACCCAATCTAGTTCTTTTGCCATACCAGGTGCAATCTGGAAAGAGACTGTGGTAATTCATGAGGCCACCAAATTCTAGAGGCAACACGCATTTGCACTTGTTTTTTAAAATTATTAGATTCTCAAGGGGTCACTTTGACTTGCCTATGCATAGAGGAAGTGCAATGCAATGTATTTATTTGGTGACTTAAACCTTATCCCATTCGTTGACTGGAGTAGTGGGCCCTCCACACTAGCTACCTTGCAGCCAATGGTATAAGACCGGACTCGACTCGCTGGTTTGAACCTGAAACCAGCTGTAAATAGGTCTTTTTAATTGGTTTTTTGTCTTTTTTTAATTAACTATGGGTATGTTTTGGTAATTTTCATTATAAGAGAAGGTTTTGAGGTTTTAAAACGGTGATTTTTAGAGAGAGAGAGAAAGAGAGAGCTCATTTGGTGATTTTTGCTCTATCTTTCTCAACCTGAAAACCACCATCTTTTGGGCAAAATTCTGGCGTTCTTTTAAGGGGTATCTATCCATCACTCTGCTTTTTTCTGAAGTCCGAAATAAGTATATTCAATTGTTTTTATGATTGTTTGGTTCATTGTTGAAAAAACAGAAATGAAAATTGAAATTTTTTAGGGTTTTATTAAGAAATGATATTTTTTACTTTTTGCCTTTTCTGGAGACAATGAATACATTGATCCTTTTATTCATTAATGGTTGTTTTTTAGTTAATAAGTTTAACACAATGTTTTTTGTTTAGATGGTATCTTATATGCCATTCATTTGTGTATAAAATTTTGTTTTTTTGTTTTCATTTGCCTTTTTATTTTATTTTTGATTATTTAAGACATCATTGGAGCTAAATTCAATTTGTTCAAAACATGAATAAGATATTTTATTTTTTTTATTTTTGTGAAAATACCCATATCATGTATTTGTTGTATTTTCATGTTAATGGTTTTCTTTTGCGGATGTTGCATATTTTCATTTGTTAGTGGTTTTTCTAGCAAAACCTCGCTTATACCCGAAAGTACCCACAGTATGTATGTTGGGTATTTTCTTTATTTTTTTTATGTGAAAATTTGACTTTTATAAACATTTTTTCTGACTTTTTGTTTTGTGCCTTCAATAGTTATTTGACTCAATTCCATTGTTTACAAGTATTGAATTATTACTTGATGGGTTATTTTTATTTTAATATTTTTTTGAATATTCTATGTTAATATTTTCTGATTTTCCATAATTTTCTTTATTTTTCATGCTTTTCTTTGTTTCCTTTTTGTTTTTGCAATTTTTAGATCAATTCGACTGGTCAACCAGTGACCTGTTAACCTAAAACTCTCATAGTTTGATCACTGGTCTGGTCTAAACAACATTGCTTGCAGCCTTGTTGCCTGAACCAAAACTCTTAAGTTAAGTTTTAGACTTGATAGGTGGACACTGATTTATACTGGGCGATGATCCTCCGTAGCTTGTTCCTAATTATGTACAACATCAGAGAAAACCATTGCCTCATTTTGCAAACTGATGTGACGCGACCTCATATTGCAAACCTTGAATGATGCCAAGCTTAGGTCTACCATTTATCAATAATTGTCAGACATAAAACAATTGTATTACATGAAGGGAGATTGGGGTACTCTGCCTTAAGAACATGAAATCTCTAGATAGAGGAATTCGTTATCATAATTAGTAATGAAAACAATATGTTTACACCATCAACCACTGGAACTCATTTTGTCGAACATGTACTCCAAGATTGATAGCATATGGGCTACCAAAGCCATTTCTATGGTCTGCTTGCTGCTTGGTTTTCCTCCTCGAATCTTTGTTCCAGCGATTCTGCCAACTCGTTGCGAATGCTGTAAAAGATGACCCAATCTAACTTTGACCTTTGCCTTATGGTCTACTGAATAGAGTTCAGAATAGTAGCCTGAAATGACAAGTGAAGCCTCTAATGCTTCTTTTGGTATGTTGCCTTCCCTTGGTGGGTTTACTTCCCCCCAACTGGCATTATTGTGAGAAGAAGTTGGTGTTTCAAACCCCTCCTGATTCCATTTTACTTCTGATTTCTAGCTCCAATTCATTTCTTTTTGGCTCACTCTGTGGTCCATCACTTTTCTAGACTTATGCTTTTAGTCCTTTCTTCTGATGCCAAGATCTTCCTTGGAATTTTATCCCTATTCCCATCTAGGTTTTTGAAAATGGACTGGTTTAGCTCCATGATACTTTGTCTGAATCAATGTGGTATCTTCACCTTTTAGATTATTGCCACCCATTGTTCCCTTACTCATCCCACCATTCTGAATATTATTTAGGTTGTCTTGGTGCTCCAAAATGTTCTCAGATGGGGAAGGGTCCCTTCTTCCTGGCTAAGTGTTGAGAAGAATTGTGACATGGTGTGAGTCTGGCCTAGTTAAAATCCATTGGTTCCCGTTCTGAGTAATCGACTTCCCAGTCATTGGATACTGGATAAAAATCAATCTTTTTCATCGTGAGCTCCTCCTGCTTGTTGACCAATGGCCAATGTAAACTTTGTCTGTGATACCCAATAAAGTAAGATGCTTGTTCCACACTCTTTTTTTTTCCCTTTTCCCTTAAGCTAGCGGGAGTTTGTTGGGGCTTCACCCATTGTATCTTCCTAAGTGTTTATATTAGGCTCAATGTTTATATTAGGCTCAAGACTATAAAATCTAATTTATCGTCCGACTGTGGCTATGAGTGCCAGAGTACCTATCATAAGGCCTGACTCTCTACTCTAAATTAAGAGATTTTATAATATAATTTATTTCATCACTTCCAATTCTGTCTTCAGTTCTTCCATTGATGTTTCCCAGCCATTTCATCCATCCAATCCTTTCCAAGCATTTCTTCATTGGTGATAAATTCCCTTTTCTCTTTGCTTGGCTTCTTCTTTCATTATGGTGCTTGTTGAACCACATGGTTCATTTTAATTTCTCTGTGGTGGCACAGGTATCATTTTCATTGACTGCTGTAGTATGCTGCTCTTATACTCCACTTGTGTAGCACACTGTTCATCTGCTGCCTCCTGGACTTTTGTGGAATTGTTATCTTGGGTTGGATGTGGTTGGGACATCTAAGGCATTATTTCTTGAGTTTCATTGGCCGGACCATCATCCTTTTAAAAAGGGAGAAGGATGACATCCAATTCACCCCCTAAGCAGCAGGCTCCAACCTAGCATATATTAACATCGGAAAACTTCCCATGAGTTTCATTTTTCTCATTTCAATAGAGGACACCAGGTTTGTTAGATGGTTTTCCCCTTCCCTTTTCTTATTTGCTATCCTCCTTTAGCACCTTCTTTGATATCTCTTCTCTTCAATATCCTAAATGGGCCAAAGAAACCCTCAAACCTACGATTGTAGGACAAGCCTAGGATCTTCTCTGATTCGACGAGTTTTTATTCCACCCATTTTTGGTGTGCTTGACCAGCATCCCCATGATAATTCGCTAACAAGTACCTATGGCAGCCTATTGTTCTCTACTTAAAATCAGTACTGCTAACTACCCTTGCAGCAAGTGATAGAAATCTCTCCCTTTCCCTCAGTGTATTAAGGCACTGTTTAACCAGAAGTTCCTCTTTGCTTTCCCAAAAGCATCCAAGGGGATCAAACAAAAGGGCCTCCTAATGTGTTATCTGCATTTCTTCCAATCTTGGATTCATGACAGTGGAAAGCATATGAAGTATGTCTTTCATTTCATTTAAGGGATGTAATAATTGTCAGCATATATGATATCACAACTTTGAGGATGTTACTTGATCTGCTTAAATGAGTCTCTGAACAGAGATGGGCACTAACTTACAAAGTAAACTCCGATTGTCTCTATTGATGCTTCATGTCGAATGTGTTTGGACTTACATATTTCTACGTATGTGAGTGGTCAAGCTCTACTATTAGCACTTGTGTCCTCCCTTCAAGGGTGACTGTGATCATTTGTTCATGAACTTGCATTAAAATGGTTTAATCCCTCATTCTGAATAAATGGAATCTGTTTTACTCAAGGGTGACTGGGATTCCTGGACTGATTGCTTATGCCTTCCCATGAATGTAGATCCAAAATGCAGTTTGATTTGTCTTTGCAACTTTGGTTTCTCAGATATTGTTTCTAGCTGAAATTTGGTAGACATACAACTTCAATGTGTGTCTACAACTTTGGTTTCTCAGTTATTTTTTATACATGTATGCAGTGAGTTCACTATCTTGTGAAACTAGAATGGTTTTGGCCTAGGTACATATACTTTTGGGGAATGAATGTGATCTCCTCAATTCAATTTTTTATTGTTGCTGCTTTGGCATCTGTTGTTCAATTGGTTGTGCTTTACTACTTCCAGTCACTGTCTAAAACCCTCATTTGAAGACATCCTTGCTATGCTCCAGGATATGGCAACCGTTAGGAGCTTGAAAATCAAGACAGGTACTTGCAAAAGGATTCTCAAAGAACTTCACTCTTATGAGAAAGAGGTGGAGAAAGAAGCTGCTAAAACTTCAGACATGAAGGAGAGAGGGGCTGACCCTTATGATCTTAAACAACAGGTATGTCACTGTGAGCATGGGCAGTGAGTATATCTAAACTGGAGCAGTGAGCATATCTAAACTGGAAGAGGGCTGTGTAAGATGTAGTAACTAAGTATTGTTTTATATTCGACAGTTTTACTGGTAGTGGTACTTAGCAAAGTAAGAGATCTCATGATGCACTAGTTTTATCGCATTATATGAGGATTTAGCCTTAAAAAGGGGCCAAAATAATCCATATTCTCCTTTATCTTGATAATGATATTGAACAATTTAAAGAGTTGACCCAGAATTTTGGGGCAGCAAAATTTTAATGTCACAGGTTCATAGTGGTCCAAAGTGCATAAGAGTCATGAGCATCTATCAAAATTAAAATGGATGCCCCCAGGCAAGGCACATTCAGCAGAAAAGTTTTGGACCTGAAATTGCTGAGGTGCCTTAGGCAGATTGCTTACACGGGCACTTCCAGGCATGATGGCTCAAGAACACCTGGGATCTATCTTCTATTTTTAATTACCATGCTAGGATCCCTGATGTTTCGTCATGATGCCACTGTAGAGAAGTGAGCCATGTCTCTTTGCTCTTGTTTTTTTCGACATTGCTAAGGTTTGTAGTCACACTATTTGGTGTTAACATTGATTTTTTTTTACTGGGTAATCACGGATTTGAAATTTAGACGATGGTGCTGTGGCCCTTAAACTTACTATTCATTTGGTTCTTTATGAGTCAAGGTTTCAAAAAATGCTAGGCGGCCCCCAGGTGGTCGGCCTGGCACCCAGAACCTCGGGCGCCCTGTAGTAGAAATTTTGCCCAATCTATGGTCTTTGATGTTGGTTACCTCAATTAAGCTACTAATCAATTAAAAAGTCTTATAATACCTCCAATAGCATCCTAAAAATAATTTTAATGAGAAAAGAAAACTTTTTTAATCCACAAAAAATACTTTCAATTATCAGAAATTACTTTAGATTCTCAGAAATACGTTTAGCATAGAGATTGATGTATTTTTAACTTTGGAGGGTTAAAAATAACCCCCATAATATATTTATACTATCTTGGGGGTCAAAATGACCCTTTTTGCCCTTTTGGGTGACTTAAAAAAATGAAAAAGGGCTCGTGGCCCTGGGTGCCTGCCCGGAACTGGGTGCTTGGCGCAATCCTAGCTCTCCCGGGCACCCGCCCAGGTACATCCGCCTGTGTTGGGCCACTTGGGTCCGGGCATGTGGTGGTCATTGTCTAGGGCACTTAGGCAGGCGCCTAAGTTCCGGGCGGACTGTTTTTTGAAACATTGTTATAAGTATATGAATATAATGTGCTTTTTTAGGCATCAATATCTTGTAGACATTCACATTGAAATTATGTGTCTATTATTTGCATGGTTTTTGAAATTGCATCTTGATAATCTTCCATAGATAACTTTGTGGGAGTCTAGAAAATTTTGAATCTTGATCTGGGTCTTGGATAAAGTTATCAGATTGTATTTAATGCATTTAATTTAATGTAGGACAGTCGGAACACTTCTATATGCACATCTAAATATTTATGGATGAGGTAACCCCTTTACATGCGTAACTGAAGCTGACCTTCACAAAGCCTCCCCAGATATGGGCGGTTGGAGGTGGAGGTATTGGTGCTGTTATTTTGGCTGATAGGGTGTACCTAAAGCGAAAGTTTTGCATATACTTTGAACTTTGAACATGTTTCAATTGGTACTCTTGAAAAATATGCTTTTGGTTGTGCAGGTGGGTGATTAAATATTATATTGTAAAAATGGCTACGCAGAATTCAAGGGAATAAAACAAAAAAAAAATTCTTTCTTTTCATTAGTGTATCTGAATTCCACTTACAAGTGCGTGACCAAGCATTATTGTAAATGAGAAATAAAATGCCAAATATAGCTTAAGATATTTCCTTTTACTTCAAAAAAGAATAGACAATCCAGGAGCTAAATACAAGCTTAAACTAAGAATTCTAATGCAAATAATGGTCTTAGAATTTGAATAATAATGGCTGAAAATAAACTTAGAGAGCCGGGAAGACTTACTTGATTTTGCCTTGGGTCACCCTTTTAGGACTTCGTACACCTCACACTTGATTTCCTAACCTATGGCACACTCTGATCCTATTGGCCATGCTGAATTTTCTGAAACGTGAAGCTTCCTTAGGCAATATCTCACAGATATAGGATTTTGAGAGTATAAACATGATCGGGATTTCTAGACCCCTATCGGACCTCCCTAGGGCATGCCTCGTAAGGCACCTTCGTCGGTCTTACTTTGGGCGTGGCCTTTCTTACTAGTCTATGAGTGGCGTGCCACCATTAGTACTTTTGGTGGTGTGTGCCACCCTCTATGGTCAAGAGAGAGAGAGAGAGAGAAAAAGAGGAAGAGGTTGGGTGGCATGGAGAAGAGACAAGAAGAGAGACTAGGGAAATTGTGATGAAGAGAATGAAGGGGTAGCCTCTCTTTATATGGGCCACATGCTTATCCAATTTGTGACTCATCATGACCAATGGGATTTTAGGGAATTTGTGAGGGTAGAGAGGAAAAATCTAAGCCATCTATCCTATGAATCAACCATCATCATTTTGAGAGAAATCTAGGAACCTTATCCCTTGAATCATTGACCCATATCCACTTTTAGTCAACCTAGGATAATATTAATAAAAAACAATTTTCTAGAACTTCCCTTGTCTCTCACAAAATTGTAGGAAGCTATAATGATAAAAGATTTGGTCAAATATGTGAAGGATATTTTAAAAAACTAACTTCCACAAAGTAAGGCCATATATCTTCTCCAAAGATTTCCTTACTAAACAAGACACATTTTATTTTAAAAATAAAAATAAAAGAAGAGAAGGAGGGGCGTCCCACCTCCATTTGTGAGGTGTCGACCCCATGGGCTCCACGACCCACCCATGTGGGTGTGGTGCACATGTGGGGTTGGATCCATGGAACCCACACATGTACGTATTAGCCCATCCATTAAACAAAAATGTCTAAAATGCCCTTTTAAGAGATTTAAAAAAAAATTGCTTAAAATAATTTTAAAAATGCTAAAATAAATGTCTAAAATCCATAAAAACTTATCTTACACTAAAAACAAAATATCTCGAAGTGGACTGGTTCCAATGAGTCAAGAAAAAGTGATTGTCAGGGCACTCTAGCTATCCCAATAACCGCCATGTACGACTTCTCAAACCAATCGAACGAGACCCATGACCAATAGTCTCATGCAGGGCCTCATGGTTCTTTCGTCAAAGCTGACCAATAAATAGTAGAACCACAACCCCAGAATGTGGATTGTAAGTTCCCCTTTAAGAGCATGTGACACACACATATCACTATAGTGTAAGGGGAAGTCTCTCTATGCACATATGAACGTATCCCTTTTCAGGGTTGCTTTTGGGCAATGCAGCTGTCATATGTACAGGTGATGCTGAAGTTTTTGAGGATTTTGCCCTTACCCTCACAGGCCTATATCCACACATAGGAGACCATGAAGCTCTCATGACCTATAAATCATCATTGGGCTCCGATCACAAACCCCAACATATATTGTATAAATTTTGTTGCCTGATATTATGTGGCGTGATTGTTGAGACATAATACATTTTTCTAGTATATGTCAAGAAGCTAGAGATGTTCTTTCTTATTCTTTTTTTTTAAAGAAAAAAGATAAAGAAAATAATGTTGTTTATCACATGATTGTATCTTATTTTATTTTATTATTATTATGTTAACTATATCACATGATTGTATCTTTGTTGCATGAGCTTTACAAATAGGGCATATATGTTGGATTTATGTGGCCTTTCATGATCTTGACAACATGTCTCTTTATGAGATTTTAACTCCATTGGGAGTATGGACTTGAAAGGGATCCATGTGACTCGTTGGGTTTTTGTAGTGTTGGACCTAAATGGTGTCTATAGAGTCACAAAACCCAAGACAATGGGGAAAGGGGCTAAAACCCTGATTTTGCCGTGATGGTTGAGGGTAATCCCTCAGTCGAGGTCGGCTTGTCCGTCGTCATTACCTAGCCAGGGCATTAGCGGATTGCTGTGTATACCATAGATATATATGGATCACTATAGACTACTGTACAAAGTACTATGGATTATTGTGTGGGGAGGCTCGGCTTGATTATACAAGGGCCAAATCCTCGACATTAGCCAACCTACAACATGTGCATAGGACTGCCACATAGGGGAAGCCGCCCTTTTCAGATGATCTACCATAAAGACGTTATGAACATGTGCTTGATAGAGGACCCCCGCATCTATGATGCTTGAGTATTGTCCTTGAAGGCGCACCTGCAATTCACGTCCCTGAATCCAACCATCTATTAGTTGACTTTCTTAGCCCAATCATACTTAAGACCTGTGGGTCAGGGGTTCTGTCGGGCCAATTTAAATGATTGGTTTAGTGTTCCGGGATAAGCTTGATGGAATGCCTGACATATTCAAGTTTGAATTCCTGAAGGTACCTAATTTTTAAATATTTTTTTAGAAGTTCAAACCAACTCAAAACGATAAAACAAACTCAAAAGTGATTTTTGGTGAGTTTTGGGAGTTTTTTTAGATTTTGGTTTTAGCCTGAATGAGTTGGGAAAGTTGTTTGAAAAAATGACGAACAAGGACATGTGTGACCTAAGACACTTATGGGACCTAAATGGCCAATGGGCCCCACATGCACTCCAAATAGGTGACATATTGGCCCCAACCTAGCACATGTGGTTTATAGGTGACATATGGGTGATGTCATCCATGTGGGGGCATCTACTTATAAGGTTTGGTTAGGGCATATAAGCCTACTTATTTGAGAGAAGTTTGATTTAAAATATTTAAAGTGTTTGAATTTTGCACACATTTGACAATGGGTGGATTGTCTAATAGGGCAGAGGGTTTGATATTATAGTTGAAACCCTAGGGCCATTGGGAATTTAAAAAACCCACTTGCTTGACATCTTGTCACTCTCTCCTTTATCCCACTTGCATTCATCTTCAGCATAGGGTTGGA